TCAGTTTAGCGTCTCATCTGAAAAAGGGGAACTCCGAAATGCCAACTCTCCCAGCCTAGGCTTGAACCAGCGACCTTTTTGCTGTGAGGCGACAGCACTACCTACTGCGCCAAAGTGTCTTAAATTTGTGACATCTTATATTCCCTTGTGTTTTAATTTCTCCTTTTCTTGTCTTTAACAGAACTTACAAAAAAGTACGGGCCAGCATAAATGCCAACAGACATAAGGTGAGTGACTGAGTTTGACACGCTGATACGAGGCTCTAATCACCTTTTATGAGTAAATACCAGCCTTGACTGCTGTAATGTTCCCATGAATAATAAAAATAGTGCTGATTTAATATCTAGATAAGATGGCTGTGTAGGGGAGACATAACACAAAGAGCTTGAAGAGTGTCAGGATAAAAAAAAAAAAGTACTTTATACTTTTTGCCAGACACAGGTGACATGACTACAGCATTTTTCAAAACTGCCCTAAGACTATTAACAATTCCACAATATTCCTTCATGTTGTCTCAACCAAGCGGCAACCTCCCGCTCTCCTTTGTGAAGCTAATACGGAAGTAACTAAAACTGTAATTCATCACATTTCCGCTGGTCTTGGCTCCTTAATAGAGCAAATTATTATAGAGCCCACTGTGAAAATGGCCAACTTTACAGCACAAAAAAGGTGTTCACAGCCTGGTACAAAGAACGATTTTGGTTCATATAGCTAATATTACCCTTCATGACAACTGTGAGGGGGGGGGGTGAATTTCAAAACTCATCTATTTACTTTATATTAAGTCTGCATAATTAAGGGTGTGGCCACTTGAGTGACAGCTTGGTCTTGCTCATAGATATATACATTAGATGTCGCCTACCCTGTTGTTGTCTATTAGAAGGAATGTGTCAATAGAGCCGCCATTTTAGTACAGGGTAGCGCTCCTTTGAAATTAATGCGGGACCAAGCTGCAGTGGAGGACTGTGGCCATCCACAGCCAGAAAAATACACATATACACATATATCTATGATCGGTATTTTTCCCGGAGGTCAGGATGCATTATATATATATATATATATATATATATATATATATATATATATATATATATATATATATATTATGAAACTTATAATTTTACATCACTTTTCTACATTGATGGATCAGTGCCCGCACAGGCATTCCTGACAAAAAGCTTGTGTTTTTATGTATAATGTACTATCCACCCTCCTTGTTAAATCTGATCTAATCCCAGTCCTGAAACACACCTCCTCTCCTGCTTTCACTTCTCATACTAACGGAGGGAGCGATTTGTTTGTGAATGAATCTCCGTTATGAACGACTCGTTCACTTAGCCAACAAAAATAGAAGTTTCTAGCACAGCAGCATCTCGTTGTCATATTTCTTTGCCATTGTTTGCTGATTTTATTCGACAAAACTAGCATAAGCCGAGTATTTAGTGCGAGTTGGAGCTACTTTGACTAATGGTGAATGCAGTAAGTGATAAATAACGTTACCTGTTTAGCACAAAAGTTCATAACATATGAAAACGTAAAAAACTAAATCTTACCTATGAAATGTTCTGCCTTTGTGCTTTGTTTTCTTTGTTTGCTCATTATTACACCCGTAGACAGCGCTAAAGTCCAGCATCTTGATGTAACAGTCTTGACTAGTGCGGTTGAATGGCATTTATCCTGGGAGCACTGTACAAATATGGCGGCGCTAATGACGTATGCTCAGGGTCCGTGTGGGATATATAGTGTATATATCTATGTGTCTCGCAGGTTGCAGTCACTTCACCTCAGCTGATTCCAGCTGATGAGCTGCTGAACTCGGTATATACATTGTATTTTTGTTTTATGTGGCTTTACACAGTCAGTTGCCTTTTTGGGATTATTTCCTACAATTATCAGATGATATGACATGCTGTGTGCAGTTAATTGTGCTCACAAACTGTTCGAATTGCCTTCATTTCCCAGGTGAGTGATATTACACAATTATAACCATCTCTATTACCGTATTTGTTTTATTTAGGATCATTTATGATTTTCTTTAGATCTGTAATGCACTCCAGAATCTGACAGATTGATTAGGTGTAGGCTCTAGAACAGTCACCTGAAATCAGTCATACAGTGTCATGCCTGGATTTCATTAATAGCCTTGCATTTACTAACACAGACTAGTTTATTTAAAGTGTTTGGAAGTAATTTCCGCTTTCATAATGTAGAAAAACGTCATAAGAATAATGCTTAGTGAAATGTATTACACCAGTGTTTTTAAAAAACTAAACACTTTATTTATATAGAGCACAACCAAGCACATGTGGTCAGAACACAGACGAGTCGCAGGTAATAAAGTATTAAGCGGCAGTGTTGCCAACTATTTCCAATGAAAAGTAGCTAAACCCTGCCCGAAAATTAGCTAAATGTTGACAGATGACGTCATGCACTAATTTGCATATCAGTGACGTCATCACGTAGTATCTGACAAGTGTAAGCCCATCTAATCTCTGAGGAGCAGTGTATTCTATTATATAAAAACATTACATCCAGATGCACAATAAATAAGTTCTTAATAATAACATATTACGTTGCGCGATGACGTCATTGCGTGATCACAATTCAAAACTTCACCTTGTAGTATACAAAATAACTGTTTTCTCAAATTGACTGGCCATCTCACCAAAAATATTATTTGAAATATGTCCATTTAGATTTGTATAAAATGGAGTTGACTATTTGTAAAAGTAATACAAACACTTTTTGATAAGAATTTTTTTTAAAATATACGACTGAAAATGAACAGTTACATCCTTTTAAACAATAACAGCTTGTGTATTTACTCTTTTTAACTTGTAAAATTAACACATTTGTGAAAGTGACAACAATTGTAGCATTATTGGAATTTATTGCTACATAAATTACCAACAAATATACATGTTAACACTTATCAATAAGTTACAGTTATGAAAAACAATCTGAGCTAGCAATTTACTCTACTGAGTGAAGCCTGCAGCCACTGCTCTTTTGAAAAATTGCTAAAAGTAGCCAAAAGAATGTTTAAAATTGCTAAATTTGTTGCTAGGTGCTTTTTTTTTAAAAAAGTTGCTGGGGTAGTATGAAAAGTTGCTAAATCTAGCAACAAAATTGGTAAGTTGGCAAAACTGTTAAGCGTTTCACCCAAAGAAAAGTCTATCTAAGCAAAAGCTAGCAGGCATCTGCAGCTCCGCCTCTTTTCCGTTGTTTGGTCACCCCCGGTCAGCGTGATGAGGCATGAACAAAATGTCAACGGTTGGCCACGCCCACTTAGCTTCATTTGTGCTTTTTAGAAATCCATACAAACATATCGTTTAACAGATTAAGTTAATTTAATTCTTTTTACTAATTTATCTATATTAAGCCTATATAAATTGTTTGCAACCACTAAACTTAAAAAAATTTGGTAAATCCAATGAATCAGTTTATCAATGCAGAACTTTGAATGTCAAAACAACATCCTAACAGTACAATGAGGGCTTACGAAGTTAAACGATTGACTTGTTTAAGAAATTTACAACATGCGAACACATAACTTGTTATTGTTTTTTTATATATATTTCTCTTTAATATAACTCAATTTTGTCGGTTCATTCCGCTGTGGCGACCCCTGATGAATAAAGGGACTAAGCTGAAAAGAAAATCAATGAATGAATAACTCAATTTTTGAATGGATAACAGGACATGCACATCCTAACGATGTAATAAACGTCACTGGTTTATCTCGAATAGCCTGAGGGTTAGTAAATTAGCAGCAAATCAATTTAAGGCGGTTTTTAGTTTAGTTTGGTGAAATTTATGTAATTCTAATAAATGCAAAACAAGGGTTTAATGCTCCTAAAAGTGTGTGATTTATATGTATTGTTCCCATAGGTGATGATTTTGCATCCTGCTTTTATTAAGTATGTTCATGAGATTTGGTTGGTGAAACATGGCAAATATCCATCCACGGGCTTCCTCGCCATTATATTTGCCCTGCACATCTGCGACCAGGTGAATCACACTTATACTATTGTTACATTATTTCGTCTCTCAGAAATACTTGAGGACATTCCAAGACATGTTATTTGGACTTATTACATGGCTGAATACTTGTTTCTGATTGGTCAGTCATGACACTCCAACAAATGTTATTCCCAGATAACAACCACAGAAATTAATAACACGGGACCATCTGAATTCTTTGAATCACTGTCCGTCTATACGTTAAAATCCATATTTATACGCTTGTCTATCCCTGCAGTTTTTGACTCATTTTGTGACTGACATTACAAGGTACGTTATTCCAAGATAACAACCGCTAAATACCCCAAACTCATCCGGGAACTTTAAATCGCCTTGACCCTCACATACATATATTTATATACATATTATTATGTATCTAGTTGTCTTTCATGCCACAGTTTTTGACTGTTTGGCGCCATCTTGTGACTGAATAATGCATGGGTTAGTGTATGCTCCCATCAGCCATTTTCGTTTTTTACAGCTTAGCATTTAATAAAAAAAATAATTAAACGATTACAGCTCAGAATTGTTTCGTGTCTAATTTAACATTTTATGGTAGCCATAATAATAGGAATAAAGTACATCCAGGGGGATGTTTTTAGTACAAAATATATAATAACAACACTAATACGTAGTAATAACCATCTGCATGTACTTTATTCCTTATCATGCGGCTGCCTGGAATACTCGATTCTGACTGGTCAGTCGTGACATTCCAAGGTATGTTATTTTGAGATAACCGCTGAATAACATAAGCTCATCCAAGAATTTTCCAACTTAACCATTAGTGAATACGTTAAAATAGATAGACGAGCAATATCACACTGCTAGCAGTGTAGCTGGCTGTATTTCGGCACTGGTGGGAGGCCCTAGTGTCCCACTAGTGATGATATACAGCCATATCGCACTGCTACGAGTATGATACTGTGTTTATACAACAGTTCGACAACATAATCATGCATTTGAAAAAAAAATCCAACACAAAGTCTAAAAATCCTTTTCTATAAGGAACTACTTTCTTCCACCATTCATTCACATCTGCAGCTGACGTCAGAACAGGAGAAACGGTTACCAATTCACCAACATTACTTTAGAGCTAGAATTTGAATGAATCTAGAGACATTTCCCAGTATTTCTCTGTTGCAACTGAGATATTACAATAACCCCAAAAAAGCCAAAGCAAACACTACCAAACTATGGTATAAATACAGCACTACACCATACAAAAGACAGAGATTGACTTAGAATGTCACTGACCCATTTTCTAATAATTTGATCAACTGTAGTTTGTAATCTAAAGGCTTATTATGCGGTCTCTGTCGCCATCTTGTGGAGGGACGTCAATCTTCTTTTCTCTGCTCAGTATGACAGTCTGATGGATGGAGATGGGCTGTATCTCAGAAATTATTAAAATTTAAAATAGGCACTATCCTTATAAATAAACTGCATTGTTGCAATCTAAACAGCTACATTCTCGCCTAAAACAGCCTCAAAAGTACATTGTTGTCCAACAGCTGCAATATATTTGACAAATTGTTGCGTTTTTATTGATCTGCTGTCACTCTATGTGGGCGGAGTAATACAGACGGGTTAAGAGGCTGTATAAGTGCTTTTATTGCAGAATATCGCACAGCTATCAGCCAATCAGATTCGAGAACCAGGCAGAACTGTTGTATAAATACATATACTTCCACATTCATATTTATTTCCTTGTCTGATTTATGAAGTTTCTGACTGTTTGGCATGGTCTTGTGAACAAATAATACGTCAGTTTCAATCCTGGTAGCTTTGTGGATTTTTTTTTTTTACTGTTTGGTGTCATCTTGTGAGGGAATAATGCTCAGATTAGTGTATACTTCATCAGCTGTTTTCATTTCTGTAAGCTTTGTGTTCAAATAAAGAATTAATAAACTATTATGGCTCAGAACAATGTTTTGTATGTCAAAGATTTATGTTTTGTCACAAGTACCCATGTAATAAGGGAAATAAAGTACATGAGCAGCTGCCAAAAAGTCTGTTGGGCTTTATTTTGAGATAACAACCTCATGGATGAACATTTAAAAAAGATTTTGCTGCTTGTTCAAACTACTCATTTGAAACGAGCCAAAACAACACAATACTTAAGTTTTTGGGGGAACATTAATTGTTTTATGATCAATCCACTTCAATTTGAGAATTGTATCAATTTGTGTTGGGACAACATGAATAAATTGTGTGTAACCCTGCATTTTTTTCAGTGTTCTTTATTGTAGATGTTTTAGCGCTTCTCTTGTGTGCAGGTGTCTACGTTTGGGTTTGGTGCGGATCAGTATGGAAACTGGTACCACTACTTTGAGAAGACTTCAAGTAGAGTTCGTACTGGCGCTCACAGCGGCAGCTTCGAGTTCGACACCATGATGCAGTTGTACTTGGAAAGCAAAATCCGGGTGTTCAGAGGAAGATAATAGGGTATTAAGATTTGCAAAAATGTAAAAATCAAACACTATGAAAGCACTTTACAATACCTCACTGGCTTACTACCACCAATACTGCTGCTGCATGGGTTACTGTTAAACACTGATTGTTGAATCACGAATACTCTCTTGGTGTGTACTGGAATGTACACATTTTGTTCATTCACTTTTTTCCTCTTAAAGATTCACCCAATAATATATATATTTTTTTAATTTACTCACCCTCAGGCCATACAAGGTGGCCATTTTTTATTCAGTAGAACATTAAAGACTGAGCAGAAAATGTTGTCTTTGTGATTCTTAAAATGGACGTCCATGGCTACCAGCATCTTTGGAATCTAAACGAATACCAAAAAACACATAAATGAATATCTGTAGCTCTTGATAACACATCGAGGTCTTAAGCAGAAAAATCTGAGCAAGAAACATGAAAGTAATCTAATATAAAGCTCATAATGAGATCAGCACTTTAAAGTTTGATGGAAAAACTGCTATTTTTTTGTAGTACCAATGTCCATTACTTTTAATTCAGTGAATTTAATTAATTGGATTAAAACAAAAAGATTTGATCATGGATGTAACTGTACCTTACAGTATTGTACCTTTGAATCACACTGCAAAAACAAACTGACGTTCACCCACATAGCTGCAAGAAAATGTCTAGATTTTAAATCATGATGCATTTACTTGAGAAGCAAATTTATAATCGTTAACAAGTGTTGTTTTCTGTGGAAAAAAACTTTATGATT